TGCTAGATTTTTGTGCAGCCCATGGGCTTGTAATTACCAACACGCTGTTCCGGCATCGGCGCATCCACACAACATCATGGATGCATGCCGGGTCCAAGCAAGAACATCTGCTGGACTACATAGTGACGGACCAGCGAATGCGAGCCCATGTCCTTGACACCAGGACCTACCGTGGAGCTGATCTGCCCTCTGACCATCGACTAGTCATCTGTAAGATGCGCCTGCCATTCTTCCACTCCGGTGGTGGGTGTACACCCAGGACCCCATTCCAACCTAAAGTGGCCTGGTCTCAGTTATCTGATGAAAGTTGCAAGCGAGAATTTCATCATCGCTTGCGGCTGGGATTGGCATCGTCCCCGACTCCTCCTGATGTCGAGGGTAAATGGGCGAGGTTTAGGACTGTGACTCATGCAGCTGCAATGGCTGCTTTGGGTACGCGGTCCAGACCTCCCCAGACACCCTGGATGACAGAGGAGTTGTTCAGGATGGTTGAGAAAAAGCGACAGGCCCACTGTCATCGGCTACAGAATCCCACGTCAGAGAATGAGGAGGCTTACCGCAGCCTTCGCTCGGAGGTTCGGAGAGCCGTGAGGCGCTGCAAGGATGGGTGGTGGTCGCGGGTTGCTGAGGAGATGGAGTCTGCCTCAGTGGCCCGTGATCACAAATCGCTATTTAACTCCATCAAAAAAGTAACCTGCAGCGCCACACCTATTACCATCATTAGGGGAAAAAACGGTGATCCAATTTCCGACCCCCAGGAACAGGTTCGCAGATTTGCTGAGCATTTCTGTGAGGTCCTGGGGGAGGGAAAATCCCTCAGCCAGGAAAACATCGTGGCACAAAGTGAGGATGACCCTGCTGAGGCTGCGGTGCCTCAAATATTGGATGAAGTCACCCCCTGTGAGTGGCTGGCTGAGGTGCCATCTGCTGAGGAAGTATTGAAGGCGATCCGGAGTCTGAGACCAGGAAAGGCAGCGGGCAGAGATGATCTCCCAAGCGAAATGCTGAGGGAGGGTGGCGTTTGTGCACAGACTGCCCTATATGACATCATAACAACAGTCTGGACCACTGGACGGGTTCCGCAGGATTGGAAGGATGCCCTGGTGGTCCCCCTTTTTAAGAAGGGGGACCGCACAGACTGTAACAACTACAGGGGCATCTCACTCCTCAGTGTGCCGGGAAAGGTCCTGGCAAGGATTATTCAGCATCGCCTTGCCAGGCACGCTGAGGAGAGGCTTGCGGAGCCCCAATGCGGTTTCAGGAAAGGGCGGTCCTGCACAGATGCCATATTTTCTGTCCGTCTCCTACAGCAGAGGTGTAGGGAATTCCAACAAGACCTACATCTCTGCTTTATTGACCTGGTCAAGGCCTATGATACCATCAGTAGGCCTGGGCTCTGGGTCGTTCTTCGTGCTTTTGGAGTACCTGACCCTCTGCTCACGATCATTAAGGACCTTCATGATGGTGAGCGGGCCCGGGTAAAACTACGTGGCCGGGAGTCAGAGCCATTCCCTGTACACCTTGGGGTGCGACAGGGATGTCCTCTGGCTCCCACATTATTTAACATCTATTTTGACCACGTAGTTCGTGAAGCCTTCAATTGCTGTACCGGGGGAATCTCCATATGGTACAGATATAATGGGAGGCTAATCGATGCCCGGGTGCGGTCAAGGGATGGCTCCCTATTGCTCAACCACGTTATGTATGCTGATGACTTGGTAATAGCTGCTCAGTCAGAGGAGGAGTTGGAGACGCTGCTGCTGAGACTGGAGCGTGCCACTAAGAGGTGGGGCCTTACCATCAGCCCCACCAAAACTAAGCACCTGCCTGGGTGTTTTGTACCATCGGACACTCCACCCCCACAACTCCCAATCGGTGATGGGGCAGTTGTGGAGAGAGTAGAGAGTTTCCCATACCTGGGCAGTGTGCTTATGACTGGCTCCAGTTTAACAGCAGAGGTCTCACTCCGAATCAGTCGAGCGGCAATATCTTTTCATCGGTTGCGTAACGCTGTGTGGAAGCTACCTGGTCTGTCGCTCCGCACTAAGCTTCAGGTCTTCTCGGCCACGGTCATTCCCTCCCTTCTCTACGCTTGCGAAACGTGGACCCCCCTAATGGAACATCTTCGCCGGTTAGAAACATTTAGGCTGACCTGCCTACGATCCATCCTGGGTTTAACCAGACTGGATTGTGTGAGGAGCTCACAAATCCTTGAAAGATCTGGGCAGGGTCCCATCGGTGAGCTCCTCCGGCAGGCAAGGCTGCGATGGCTGGGTCATGTAGCCCGCATGCCCAGCCACCGCATGCCGAAACAGCTTTTGTTTGGCCGGATTGAGGGGGCTAAGCGGGCGCGGCACGGGCTAGAGAAGAGATGGAGTGATGTGGTACAGGAGGACGTGGAGCTGAGTGGACTTGCCGATGACTGGTACCAGCGGTGTCAAGATCGGCCTCTGTGGAGGAGGCTCGTGAAGGATGCTACTGGGCAGTTGGAGGCAGTCGCCCTCCAACAACAACGGAGGGCGGAGGAGCGACGCTCACAACAGCGAGCGGAGCGCCGGGTGGCTAAAGCACAGCAGGTTGGCACAGTAGGGGGCACAGGTGGTGCATCAGCCAGTCATCTCAGTCAGTCGACCCGTGGCACCTGGGTCTGCCCCGTGACCTCCTGCCAGCGGGCGTTCGACACTTCACGTGGCCTCAGGGTGCACATAGCCTGGCACAAGCGTCGTGGTGACGTCACCGCCACTTAGTGGCGAATGGCGGTTGTTGTTGTTGTCTCTATGTGTGTGTCTCTGTGTGTGTCTCTGTGTGTGTCTCTGTGTGTGTCTCTGTGTGTGTGTGTCTCTGTGTGTGTGTGTCTCTGTGTGTGTCTCTGTGTGTGTGTACCGCTCCCCACATCTTTGTTTGTGTCTATGTGTGTGTGTCTGTGTGTGTCTCTGTGTGTCTCTCTGTGTGTGTCTCTCTGTGTGTGTGTCTCTGTGTGTGTCTCTGTGTGTGTGTCTCTGTGTGTGTGTCTCTGTGTGTGTGTCTCTGTGTGTGTGTCTCTGTGTGTGTCTCTGTGTGTGTGTCTCTGTGTGTGTGTCTCTGTGTGTGTGTCTCCGTGTGTGTGTCTCTGTGTGTGTCTCTGTGTGTCTCTCTGTGTGTGTGTCTCTGTGTGTGCGTCTCTGTGTGTGTCTCTGTGTGTGTGTCTCTGTGTGTGTCTCTGTGTGTGTGTCTCTGTGTGTGTGTCTCTGTGTGTGTGTCTCTGTGTGTGTGTCTCTGTGTGTGTCTCTGTGTGTGTGTCTCTGTGTGTCTCCGTGTGTGTGTCTCTGTGTGTGTCTCTCTGTGTGTGTGTGTGTCTCCACGTGTCTCCACGTGTCTCTCAGTGTCTCCACGTCTCCCCATGCGCCCCAGCGCGTCTCCACACGGTTCCCTGTCTCCGCGTCTCCCCACATCTCCCCACCGTGCCCACCCACCGTGCCCCCCACCGTGCCCCCCACCGTGCCCACCCACCGTGCCCACCCACCGTGCCCCCCCGTGTCTCTCTCCGTGTGTCTCCCCGTGTGTCTCTGTGTGTGTGTCTCCGTGTCTCTGTGTGTATCTCCGTCTGTCTCCGTGTGTCTCGGTGTGTGTCTCCGTGTCTCTGTGTGTGTCTCTCAATGTCTCACACCGTGTGTCTCTGTGTCTCTCCGTGTGTCTCTGTGTCTCTCCGTGTCTCTCAATGTCTCACACCATGTACCCGTGTGTCTCCGTGTGTGTCTCCGTGTGTCTCTGTGTGTGTGTCTCTCAATGTCTCACACCGTGTATCTCCGTGTGTGTCTCTGTGTGTGTGTCTCTCAATGTCTCACACCGTGTGTCTCCGTGTGTGTCTCTGTGTGTGTGTCTCTCAATGTCTCACACCGTGTATCTCCGTGTGTCTCCGTGTGTGTCTCCCCGTGCCCCCCACCGTGCCCACCCACCGTGCCCACCCACCGTGCCCCCCACCGTGCCCCACCCACCGTGCCCCCCACCTTGTAGAGCTCCTGGCTGGCGCTCACTCCCAGTGTGCCGCTGGTGGCAGCTGCCAGTGCCTCCAGCGTGCTCACGATCCTCAGGCCGGCTCCGTAGCGGCGCTGGGCGGACACCAGCACCTTGGGGTCGGCCTGCATGGCGCTACTCACCATCTCGAGCACCAGCTGCCCTAGCTGGGAGACACAGAGACACACACACACACAGCTGCCCTAGCTGGCAGACACAGAGACACACACACACACAGCTGCCCTAGCTGGGAGACACACACACACACAGCTGCCCTAGCTGGCAGACACAGAGACACACACACACACAGCTGCCCCTAGCTGGCAGACACACACACACACACAGCTGCCCTAGCTGGTAGACACAGAGACACACACACACACAGCTGCCCTAGCTGGTAGACACACACACACACACAGCTGCCCTAGCTGGTAGACACAGAGACACACACACACACAGCTGCCCTAGCTGGCAGACACAGAGACACACACACACACACAGCTGCCCTAGCTGGGAGACACACACACACACAGCTGCCCCTAGCTGGTAGACACACAGACACACACACACACACAGCTGCCCTAGCTGGTAGACACACACACACACACAGCTGCCCTAGCTGGCAGACACACACACACACACAGCTGCCCCTAGCTGGCAGACACACACACACACACAGCTGCCCCTAGCTGGCAGACACACACACACACACAGCTGCCCTAGCTGGCAGACACACACACACACAGCTGCCCTAGCTGGCAGACACAGAGACACACACACACAGCTGCCCTAGCTGGCAGACACAGAGACACACACACACAGCTGCCCTAGCTGGTAGACACAGAGACACACACACACACACACAGCTGCCCTAGCTGGTACACACACACACACACACAGCTGCCCTAGCTGGTAGACACAGAGACACACACACACACAGCTGCCCTAGCCGGCAGACACAGAGACACACACACACACAGCTGCCCTAGCTGGCAGACACAGAGACACACAGCTGCCCTAGCTGGCAGACACAGAGACACACACACACACACAGCTGTCCTAGCTGGGAGACACACAGACACACACACACACACAGCTGCCCCTAGCTGGCAGACACACAGACACACACACACACACAGCTGCCCCTAGCTGGCAGACACACACACACACAGCTGCCCTAGCTGGTAGACACACAGACACACACACACACACAGCTGCCCCTAGCTGGTAGACACAGAGACACACACACACAGCTGCCCCTAGCTGGCAGACACACAGACACACACACACACAGCTGCCCCTAGCTGGCAGACACACAGACACACACACACACAGCTGCCCCTAGCTGGCAGACACACACACACACAGCTGCCCTAGCTGGTAGACACACAGACACACACACACACACAGCTGCCCTAGCTGGCAGACACAGAGACACACACACACACAGCTGCCCTAGCTGGCAGACACAGAGACACACACACACACAGCTGTCCTAGCTGGTAGACACAGACACACACACACACACAGCTGTCCTAGCTGGCAGACACAGAGACACACACACACACAGCTGCCCTAGCTGGTAGACACAGAGACACACACACACACACAGCTGCCCTAGCTGGCAGACACAGAGACACACACACACAGCTGTCCTAGCTGGCAGACACAGAGACACACACACACACAGCTGCCCTAGCTGGTAGACACAGAGACACACACACACACACAGCTGCCCTAGCTGGCAGACACAGAGACACACACACACACAGCTGCCCTAGCTGGCAGACACAGAGACACACACACACACAGCTGCCCTAGCTGGTAGACACAGAGACACACACACACACACAGCTGCCCTAGCTGGCAGACACAGAGACACACACACACACACAGCTGCCCCTAGCTGGCAGACACACACACACACACAGCTGCCCTAGCTGGCAGACACAGAGACACACACACACACAGCTGTCCTAGCTGGCAGACACAGAGACACACACACACACAGCTGCCCTAGCTGGGAGACACAGAGACACACACACACACACAGCTGCCCTAGCTGGCAGACACAGACACACACACACAGCTGCCCTCGCTGGTAGACACAGAGACACACACACACAGCTGCCCTAGCTGGTAGACACAGAGACACACACACACACACAGCTGCCCTAGCTGGCAGAGACAGACACACACACACACAGCTGCCCTAGCTGGTAGACACAGAGACACACACACACACAGCTGCCCTAGCTGGTAGACACAAAGACACACACACACACAGCTGCCCTAGCTGGTAGACACAGAGACACACACACACAGCTGCCCTAGCTGGCAGACACAGAGAGACACACACACACACAGCTGCCCTAGCTGGCAGACACAGAGACACACACACACACACAGCTGCCCTAGCTGGCAGACACAGACACACACACACAGCTGCCCTAGCTGGCAGACACAGAGACACACACACACACAGCTGCCCTAGCTGGCAGACACAGAGACACACACACACACACAGCTGCCCTAGCTGGCAGACACAGACACACACACACAGCTGCCCTAGCTGGCAGACACAGAGACACACACACACACAGCTGCCCTAGCTGGCAGACACAGAGACACACACACACACAGCTGCCCTAGCTGGCAGACACAGAGACACACACACACACAGCTGCCCTAGCTGGCAGACACAGAGACACACACACACACAGCTGCCCTAGCTGGCAGACACACACACACACAGCTGCCCTAGCTGGTAGACACAGAGACACACACACACAGCTGCCCTAGCTGGCAGACACAGACACACACACACAGCTGCCCTAGCTGGCAGACACAGAGACACACACACACACACAGCTGCCCTAGCTGGCAGACACAGAGACACACACACACACAGCTGCCCTAGCTGGCAGACACAGAGACACACACACACAGCTGCCCTAGCTGGTAGACACAGAGACACACACACACAGCTGCCCTAGCTGGCAGACACAGACACACACACACAGCTGCCCTAGCTGGCAGACACAGAGACACACACACACACACAGCAGTCCTAGCTGGTAGACACAGAGACACACACACACACACAGCTGCCCTAGCTGGCAGACACAGAGACACACACACACAGCTGCCCTAGCTGGCAGACACAGAGACACACACACACACACAGCTGCCCTAGCTGGCAGACCACGTGGCGGTGACGTCACCACGACGCTTGTGCCAGGCTAGGTGCAACGTTAAAGCCGCGCGAAGCGTCGAACGCCCGCCGGCAGGAGGTCACGGGGCAGACCCAGCAGAGTTGTTAGTAAGGAGTTGTTAGTGAGTAAGTAGTTGTTAGTAAGTAAGGAGTTGTTAGTAAGGAGTTGTTAGTGTGCGGCGATGGAGCAGCGATCGATCGAGGGTCGAATTGGAACCGCGTTGTGATCGGGATCGCGCTCGCTGAAAGTGCTGATGCCTTCAGGGAAATCGTGGACTCTGTAGACTCAGCTGCCCACAATTCTGTGAGTCTCTCGCTGAGGGGTGCCGATGCTTTCAGGTAAATCGTGGACTCTGTAGACTCGGCTTCGCACAATTCTGTGAGTCTCTCGCTGGGGGGTGCTGATGCCTTCAGGGAAATCGTGGACTCTGTAGACTCGGCTGCCCACAATTCTGTGAGTCTCTGCCGTTACTTATCGCCAATCAAGGACTCAGACTATTGTCCTATCATCTCATAGAGTCCCTGGCACGTCATAATAATAATATGCTACACAGTGGCAATGGGAGTTGTAAAATGCTGATGTATTACTAATAAACCCCAGCCATGAAAAGCTTCACGAACTACGTGGTCGAAGTAGACGTTCAATAATGTGGGAGCCAGAGGACATCCCTGTCGCACCCCAAGGTGTACAGGGAATGGCTCCGACTCCCGGCCACGTAGTTTTACCCGGGCCCGCTCACCATCATGAAGGTCCTTAATGATCGTGAGCAGAGGGTCAGGTACTCCAAAAGCACGAAGAACAACCCAGAGCCCAGGCCTACTGATGGTATCATAGGCCTTAACCAGGTCTTGTTGGAATTCCCTACACCTCTGCTGTAGCAGACGGACAGAAAATCTGGCATCTGTGCAGGACCGCCCTTTCCTGAAACCGCATTGGGGCTCCGCAAGCCTCTCCTCAGCGTGCCTGGCAAGGCGATGCTGAATAATCCTTGCCAGGATCTTTCCCGGCACACTGAGGAGTGAGATGCCCCTGTAGTTGTTACAGTCTGTGCGGTCCCCCTTCTTAAAAAGGGGGACCACCAGGGCATCCTTCCAATCCTGCGGAACCCGTCCAGTGGTCCAGACTGTTGTTATGATGTCATGTAGGGCAGTCTGTGCACAAACGCCACCCTCTCTCAGCATTTCGCTTGGGAGATCATCTCTGCCAGGCGCTTATCAGCAACAGCATCAGCAGCAGCATCATCAGCAGCATCATCATCAGCATCATCATCAGCAGCAGCATCATCATCAGCAACAGCAGTGGGGTCATCTCTCTCTGTGTGCGTCTCTCTCTGTCTCTGTGATGATGCTACTGCTGATGGTGCTGATGATGCTACTGCTGATGATGATGCTGCTGATTAAATTACTGCTGATGATGCTACTGCTGATAATGCTGCTGCTCATGATGATGCTGCTGCTGCTGATGCTACTGCTGCTGATGATGATGCTGCTGAGAATGCTGCTGCTGATGATGATGCTGCTGATGCTGCTGCTGATGCTGCTGATTAAATTACTGCTGATGATGATGCTACTGCTGATAATTCTGCTGCTCATGATGATGCTGCTGCTGCTACTGCTGCTGCTGAGAATGCTGCTGCTGATGATGATGCTGCTGATGCTACTGCTGCTGCTGCTGAGAATGCTGCTGCTGCTGATGATGCTGCTGCTGCTGCTGATGATGCTGCTGAGAATGATGCTGCTGCTGCTGATGATGATGATGCTGCTGCTGCTGATGATGTTGCTGCTGCTGCTGCTGCTGATGATGCTGCTGCTGCTGATGATGCTGCTGAGAATGCTGCTGCTGATGATGCTGCTGCTGCTGATGATGATGCTGCTGCTGATGCTGCTGCTGATGATGCTGCTGCTGCTGATGATGCTGCTGCTGCTGCTGATGCTGCTGGTGCTGCTGATGATGATGCTGCTGCTGCTGATGATGCTGCTGAGAATGCTGCTGCTGATGATGCTGCCGACGCCGATACCTCGCGAATGCGATCTGCGAATGCGGCGAACTTGGCGATGATCTCGGCCAGGAGGAGGATGTCCAGGTCGTCCGTGAAACTGCCGCGGGCATCCGCGGTGAACACAAGCAGCTGGTGAGCCAGGGCAAGGGCGGTGCTCACGTTCACCGGCATCTGGGGCACACACACAGAGAGGGTGGGTGGGTGGGTGGGGGGAGAGGGTGGGTGGGTGGGTGGGGAGAGAGAGTGAGGGTGGGGAGAGAGAGAGGGTGGGTGGGTGGGTGGGGAGAGAGAGAGGGTGGGTGGGGAGAGAGAGAGAGGGTGGGTGGGGAGAGAGAGAGAGGGTGGGTGGGTGGGGAGAGAGAGAGGGTGGGTGGGTGGGGAGAGAGAGAGAGGGTGGGTGGGGAGAGAGGGTGGGTGGGGAGAGGGTGGGGAGAGAGAGTGGGAAGAGAGGGTGGGGAGAGAGGGTGGGTGGGAAGAGGGTGGGGAGAGGGTGGGGAGAGAGAGGGTGGGGAGAGAGAGGGTGGGGAGAGAGTGGAGAGAGAGAGGGTGGGGAGAGGGTGGGGAGAGAGTGTGGGGAGAGAGTGTGGGGAGAGAGTGGGGAGAGGGTGGGGAGAGAGAGTGGGGAGAGAGTGGAGAGAGTGAGAGAGAGGGTGGGTGGAGAGGGTGGGGAGAGGGTGGGGAGAGGGTGGGGAGAGAGGGTGGGGAGAGGGTGGGGAGAGAGGGTGGGGAGAGAGGGTGGGGAGAGAGGGTGGGGAGAGAGAGTGGGAGAGAGAGGGTGGGGGGAGATGGTGGGGGGAGAGAGAGGGTGGGGGGAGAGAGAGTGGGGAGAGAGAGGGTGGGGAAAGGGTGGGGAGAGAGAGTGGGGAGAGAGTGGGGAGAGGGTGGGGAGAGAGAGGGTGGGGGGAGAGGGTGGGGGGAGAGAGGGTGGGGGGAGAGGGTGGGAGAGGGTGGGGAGAGAGAGAGTGGGGAGCGGTAGTGAGGAAGTGATCTCGTTACTGGCCATCGACACCAGCAGTGACCCCCCCTCTCCCCCCTCCCCCCTCCCCCCCCACCTGTGTGAAGGCGGCGAGCAGGCGGCTGGACTCGCGACACGCTCCGTAGTCGCCCCTCTCCTCCCACAATCCACCGCTGCCACAGCGCCTGGTGGCCACCCCAGGCCTCGCCGGGGGGATTGGTGGGGGGGGGGCCCCTCCCCCCGGCCCCCCCCCCGGCCCCCCCCAGCCGAGATCCGCCGAGGAGGGAGAGCCGATGCACGGCAGCCTTGCCGTGAAGCCTGCCATGGTGGAGGGCCACCTGGGGGAAGGGGGGGGGAGGGAGGTTTAGGATGGCCGTCTCTGTCTCTGTGTGTGTCTGTCTCTCTGTGTCTCTCTGTCTCTGTGTGTGTCTGTCTCTCTGTGTATCTGTGTGTGTGTCTCTCTGTGTGTGTCTCTGTGTGTGTCTCTCTGTGTGTGTCTCTGTCTCTGTGTGTCTCTGTCTCTGTGTGTCTCTGTCTCTGTGTGTCTCTGTCTCTCTGTGTATCTGTGTGTGTGTCTCTCTGTATCTGTGTGTCTCTCTGTCTGTGTGTCTCTGTCTCTGTGTGTCTGTGTCTCTGTCTCTCTGTATCTGTGTGTCTCTCTGTCTCTGTGTGTCTGTGTCTGTCTGTGTGTGTCTCTGTCTCTGTGTGTGTCTGTGTGTCTCTGTCTCTGTGTCTCTGTGTCATTGTGTCTCTGTCTCTGTGTCATTGTGTGTCTCTGTGTCATTGTGTGTCTCTGTGTCTCTGTGTTTCTCTGTGTCTCTGTGTTTCTCTGTGTCTCTCTGTCTCTGTCTCTCTGTGTGTGTCTCCGTGTGTGTCTCCGTGTGTGTGTCTCTGTCTCCGTGTGGGTGTGAGGTGTCTGTGTGTGGTGTGTGTGTGTGGTGTGTGTGGTGTGTGTGTGTGGTGTGTGTGGTGTGTGTGGTGTGTGTGTGGTGTTTGTGTGGTGTGTGTGTGGTGTGTGTGGTGTGTGTGTGTGGTGTGTGTGGTGTGTGTGATGTGTGTGGTGTCTGTGTGTGATGTCTATGTGTGGTGTGTGTGTGGTGTGTGTGGTGTGTGTGTGCGGTGTGTGTGGTGTGAGGTGCGTGGTGTGTGCGTGTGGTGTGTGTGGTGTGTGTGTGTGGTGTGTGTAGTGTGTGCGGTGCGTGTGGTGTGTGTGGTGTGTGGTGTGTGTGGTGTGTGTGGTGTGTGTATGTGTGTGTGGTGTGTGTGTGGTGTGTGTGTGGTGTGTGTGGTGTGTGTGTGGTGTGTGTGTGGTGTGTGTGGTGTGTGTGGTGTGAGGTGTGTGGTGTGAGGTGCGTGGTGTGTGTGGTGTGGTGTGTGTGTGTGGTGTGTGTAGTGTGTGTGTGTGGTGTGTGTGGTGCGTGTGGTGCGTGTGGTGCGTGTGGTGTGTGTGTGGTGTGTGGTGTGTGTGGTGTGTGTGGTGTGTGTATGTGTGTGTGGTGTGTGTGTGGTGTGTGTGTGGTGTGTGTGTGGTGTGTGTGGTGTGTGTGTGGTGTGTGTGTGGTGTGTGTGGTGTGTGTGGTGTGTGTGGTGTGAGGTGCGTGGTGTGTGTGGTGTGGTGTGTGTGTGTGGTGTGTGTAGTGTGTGTGTGTGGTGTGTGTGGTGCGTGTGGTGCGTGTGGTGCGTGTAGTGTGTGTGTGGTGTGTGTGGTGCGTGTGGTGTGTGTGTGTGTGGTGTGTGTGTGTGGTGTGTGTGGTGTGTGTGTGTGGTGTGTGTGGTGTGTGGTGTGTGGTGTGTGTGTGTGGTGTGTGTGGTGTGTGGTGTGTGTGTGTGTGGTGTGTGCAGTGTGGTGTGTGCGGTGTGGTGTGTGTGTGTGGTGTGTGTGTGTGTGGTGTGTCTGTGTGTGTGTGGTGTGTGTGGTGTGTGTGTGGTGTGTGTGGTGTGTGTGGTGTGTGTGTGTGTGGTGTGTGTGGTGTGTGCGGTGTGGTGTGTACGGTGTGGTGTGTGTGTGTGGTGTGTGTGTGGTGTGTGTGGTGTGTGTGGTGTGTGTAGTGTCTGTGTGTGGTGTGTGTGGTGTGTGTGGTGTGTGTGGTGTGTGTGGTGCGTGTGGTGTGTGCGGTGTGGTGTGTACGGTGTGGTGTGTGTGGTGTGGTGTGTGTGTGGTGTGTGTAGTGTGTGTGTGGTGTGTGTAGTGTCTGTGTGTGGTGTGTGTGTGTGTGGTGTGTGTGGTGTGTGTGTGTGTGGTGTGTGTGTGTGGTGTGTGTGTGGTGTGTGTGTGTGGTGTGTGTGGTGTGTGTGTGGTGTGTGTGGTGTGTGTGTGGTGTGTGTGTGGTATGTGTGTGTGTGGTTTGTGTGGTGTGTGTGTGTGGTGTGTGTGGTGTGTGTGTGGTGTGTGTGTGGTGTGTGGTGTGTGTGGTGTGTGTGTGGTGTGTGTGTGGTGTGTGTGTGGTGTGTGGTGTGTGTGTGGTGTGTGTGTGGTGTGTGTGTGTGTGGTGTGCGTGTGTGGTGTGTGTGTGGTGTGTGTGGGTGGTGTGTGTGTGGTGTGTGTGTGTGGTGTGTGGTGTGTGTGGTGTGTGTGGTGTGTGTGTGGTGTGTGTGGTGTGTGTGTGTGGTGTGTGGTGTGTGGTGTGTGTGTGGTGTGTGTGGTGTGTGTGGTGTGTGTGTGGTGTGTGTGGTGTGTGTGGTGTGGTGTGTGGTGTGTGTGTGGTGTGTGTGTGTGGTGTGTGTGTGTGGTGTGTGTGTGTGGTGTGTGTGTGGTGTGTGTGTGTGGTGTGTGTGTGTGGTGTGTGTGTGGTGTGTGTGTGTGGTGTGTGTAGTGTCTGTGTGTGGTGTGTGTGTGTGTGTGGTGTGTGTGGTGTGTGTGTGTGGTGTGTGTGTGGTGTGTGTGTGGTGTGTGTGTGGTGTGTGTGTGGTGTGTGGTGTGTGTGTAGTGTGTGTGGTGTGTGTGTGTGGTGTGGTGTGTGTGTGGTGTGTGTGGTGTGTGTGTGGTGTGTGTGTGGTGTGTGTGTGGTGTGTGTGTGTGTGGTGTGTGGTGTGTGTGTGGTGTGTGTGTGGTGTGTGTGTGGTGTGTGTGTGGTGTGTGTGGTGTGTGTGGTGTGGTGTGTGTGTGTAGTGTGTGTGGTGTGTGTGTGTAGTGTGTGTGTGGTGTGTGTGTGTGTGTGTGTAGTGTGTGTGTGGTGTGTGTGGTGTGTGTGGTGTGTACGTGGTGTGTGTGTAGTGTGTGTGGTGTGTGTGTGGTGTGTGTGGTGTGTGTGGTGTGTGTGTGGTGTGTGTGGTGTGTGTGTGGTGTGTGTGGTGTGTGTGTGGTGTGTGTGGTGTGTGTGGTGTGTGTGTGGTGTGTGTGTGGTGTGTGTGTGGTGTGTGTGTGGTGTGTGTGTGGTGTGTGTGTGTGTGGTGTGTGGTGTGTGTGTGTGGTGTGTGTGGTGCGTGTGGTGCGTGTGGTGCGTGTGTGTGTGGTGTGTGTGGTGTGTGGTGTGTGTGGTGTGTGTGGTGTGTGTGGTGTGTGTGGTCTGTGTGTGGTGTGTGTGGTGTTCATCTACAGAAGTCAAACCATAGTCAACTGATGAAGATGATGAAAGTCAAGGTGAGTAGGCGGTGGTGGTGGTGATGGTGGTGGTGATGGTGGTGGTGGTGATGGTGGTGATGGTGGTGGTGGTGATGGTGGTGGTGATGGTGGTGGTGATGATGGTGGTGATGATGGTGGTGGAGCTGGTGGTGGTGATGGTGGTGGTGGTGATGGTGGAGCTGGTGGTGATGGTGGTGGTGGTGATGGTGGAGCTGGTGGTGATGGTGGTGGTGGTGATGGTGGAGCTGGTGGTGTGGCTGGTGGTGTGGCTGGTGGTGTAGGTGGTGCTGTGGCTGGTGGTGTGGCTGTTGAGGGTGTCGGCGAGCGTCGCCGCTCCTCACCGGAAGTCCCCGTGGTTGCCGGTGACGGCGTCCGCGGGGCAGCGACGTGCCGGGGAGTCGTCCAGGACGAGGACGTCCAGCCAGCGGCTGACGTTGCCGCGGGGCGTGGTGACAACACAGCTCCAGCGACCCCCAGCGGACACGGACACGTCCAGAAGGGTCACACGGCTGGGGAGGTGAGGGGGGAGAGAGGTGAGGGGTGAGGGGTGAGGGTGGTGAGGGTGGTGAGGGGGCGAGAGGTGAGGGGGGCGGTGAGGGGTGAGGGGGAGAGAGAGGGACACGGCCACAATCACCACCCTCACCACCACCACCACACTCACCACCAACACCACCCTCACCACCTCCACCACACTCACCACCAACACCACCCTCACCACCTCCACCACACTCACCACCAACACCACCCTCACCACCTCCACCACACTCACCACCAACACCACCCTCACCACCACCACCACACTCACCACCAACACCACCCTCACCACCTCCACCACACTCACCACCAACACCACCCTCACCACCTCCACCACACTCACCACCAACACCACCCTCACCACCTCCACCACACTCACCACCAACACCACCCTCACCACCTCCACCACACTCACCACCAACACCACCCTCACCACCACCACCACACTCACCACCAACACCACCCTCACCACCACCACCACACTCACCACCAACACCACCCTCACCACCTCCACCACCACCACCCCCACCACCAAACTCATCATCACCACCACACTCATCATCACCACCACTACACTCATCATCACCACCATCTCCACCACCACCACCACCACCTCCACCACCACCACCACACTCATCACCACCACACTCATCATCACCACCACACTCATCACCACCACCACCACCACACTCATCACCACCACCACACTCATCATCACCACCACTACACTCATCATCACCACCATCTCCACCACCACCACCACCACCTCCACCACCACCACCACACTCATCACCACCACACTCATCATCACCACCACCACCATCACCACCACCACACTCATCATCACCACACTCATCACCACCACCACCACCACACTCATCACCACCACCACCACCACACTCATCACCACCACCACCACCACACTCATCACCACCACCACCACCACACTCCCCACCACCACCACCTTCACCTGTACATCATGGCGCAGTCAGCTTCACCACCACCACCTCCACCACCTCCACCACCACACTCATCTCATCACCACCACCTCCACCACCACACTCATCACCACCACCACCACACTCCCCATCACCACCACACTCATCACCACCACCATCACCACCACCACACTCACCATCACCACCACCACACTCATCACCACCACACTCATCACCACCACCATCACCACCACCACACTCACCATCACCACCACACTCATCACCACCACACTCATCACCACCACCATCACCACCACCACACTCACCACCACCACCACACTCATCACCACCACCACCATCACCACCACCACACTCATCATCACCACACTCATCACCACCACCATCACCACCACCACACTCACCACCACCACCACACTCATCACCACCACCACCATCACCACCACCACACTCATCATCACCACACTCATCACCACCACCACCACCACACTCATCACCACCACCACCACCACACTCATCACCACCACCACCACACTCCCCACCACCACCACCTTCACCTGTACATCATGGCGCAGTCAGCTTCACCACCACCACCTCCACCACCTCCACCACCACACTCATCTCATCACCACCACCTCCACCACCACACTCATCACCACCACCACCACACTCCCCATCACCACCACACTCATCACCACCACCATCACCACCACCACACTCACCATCACCACCACACTCATCACCACCACACTCATCACCACCACCATCACCACCACCACACTCACCACCACACTCATCACCACCACACTCATCACCACCACCATCACCACCACCACACTCACCATCACCACCACACTCATCACCACCACCACCATCACCACCACCACACTCATCATCACCACACTCATCACCACCACCACACTTATCATCACCACCACCACCACCACACTCATCACCACCACCACCACCTTCACCTGTACATCATGGCGCAGTCAGCTTCACCACCACCACCACCACCACCACCACCGGCAGTGGATGCGGTGGTGGTGGTGGTGGTGGCGGTGGTGGAGGGGAAGCCGCCGTTGTGCGTCCACGCGATGGCAGCGGTGGGGTGGACACGTGTCGCCGTGCAGTGCAAGGGCAGCGAGTCTCCCCGGAACACCACCTGGCCCTGGGACGGGAGCAGCTGGAATAGGGGCAGCTCTGGGGGTCCCTCTGTGGTAGAGGGGCAGCAGAGAGAGATAGAGAGAGAGAGTTAGAGAGAGAGAGAGTTAGAGAGAGAGATAGAGAGTTAGAGAGAGAGAGAGAGTTAGAGAGAGAGAGTTAGAGAGATAGAGAGAGTTAGAGAGAGAGAGAGTTAGAGAGAGAGTTAGAGAGATAGAGAGAGTTAGAGAGAGAGAGTTAGAGAGAGAGAGTTAGAGAGAGTTAGTTAGAGAGAGAGTTAGAGAGATAGAGAGAGTTAGAGAGAGAGAGTTAGAGAGATAGAGAGAGTTAGAGAGAGAGAGTTAGAGATAGAGAGAGAGAGAGTTAAAGAGAGAGAGAACACCACCTGGCCCTGGGACGGGAGCAGCTGGAACAGCGGCAGCTCTGGGGGTCCCTCTGTGGCAGAGGGGCAGCAGAGAGAGAGAGTTAGAGAGAGTTAGTTAGAGAGAGAGTTAGAGAGAGTTAGAGTTAGAGAGAGAGTTAGAGAGAGTTAGAGAGAGTTAGAGAGAGAGATACAGAGAGAGATAGAGAGAGTTAGAGAGAGAGTTAGAGAGAGAGTTAGAGAGAGTTAGAGTTAGAGAGTTAGTTAGTTAGTTAGAGAGAGAGAACACCACCTGGCCCTGGGACGGGAGCAGCTGGAATAGGGGCAGCTCTGGGGGTCCCTCTGTGGTAGAGGGGCAGCAGAGAGAGAGAGTTAGAGAGATAGAGAGAGTTAGAGAGAGAGTTAGAGAGAGATAGAGAGAGTTAGAGAGAGAGAGTTAGAGAGAGAGTTAGAGAGATAGAGAGAGTTAGAGAGAGAGAGTTAGAGAGAGAGTTAGAGAGATAGAGTTAGAGAGAGGGAGAGATAGAGAGAGAGTTAGAGAGTTAGAGGGAGAGTTAGAGAGATAGAGAGAGAGAGTTAGAGAGAGATAGAGAGAGTTAAAGAGAGAGAGAACACCACCTGGCCCTGGGACGGGAGCAGCTGGAACAGCGGCAGCTCTGGGGGTCCCTCTGGGGCAGAGGGGCAGCAGAGAGAGGGAGTTAGAGAGAGAGTTAGAGAGAGAGTTAGAGAGAGTTAGAGTTAGAGAGAGTTAGAGTTAGAGAGAGAGTTAGAGAGATAGAGAGAGTTAGAGAGATAGAGAGTTAGAGAGAGATAGAGAGTTAGAGAGAGTTAGATAGTTAGAGAGAGAGTTAGATAGAGAGTTAGAGAGAGAGTTAGATAGAGAGTTAGAGAGAGAGTTAGATAGAGAGAGTTAGAGAGAGAGTTAGATAGAGAGAGTTAGAGAGAGAGAGAGAGTTAGAGAGAGAGTTAGATAGAGAGAGTTAGAGAGAGAGTTAGAGAGTGAGAGAGTTAGAGAGAGAGTTAGAGAGAGAGAGAGAGTTAGAGAGTGAGAGAGTTAGAGAGAGAGAGAGAGTTAGAGAGATAGAGAGAGTTAAAGAGAGAGAGAACACCACCTGGCCCTGGGACGGGAGCAGCTGGAATAGGGGCAGCTCTGGGGGTCCCTCTGTGGTAGAGGGGCAGCAGAGAGAGAGAGAGAGATAGATAGTTAGTTAGAGAGTTAGAGAGAGAGATAGTTAGATAGTGAGAGTTAGAGAGTTAGAGGGAGAGTTAGAGAGATAGAGAGAGTTAGAGAGAGAGAGAGTTAGAGAGAGATAGAGAGTTAGAGAGAGTTAGATAGTTAGAGAGAGTTAGATAGTTAGAGAGAGAGTTAGAGAGATAGTTAGAGAGAGAGTTAGAGAGAGAGTTAGAGAGAGAGTTAGAGAGAGAGTTAGAGAGAGAGTTAGAGAGAGAGTTAGAGAGAGAGTTAGATAGAGAGAGAGATAGATAGAGAGTTAGAGAGAGTTAGAGAGAGAGACAGAGATCGCTGGCCCTGGTCTCCCTCCCCCTTCCACATCTCCCCCCCCCCGCCGGGCGCTCACCGCACGACAGCTGGCCTGCCTTGAGCCTGTGGAAGGCCAGGCCACGCAGCGGCGTGGGTAATGAGCAGCGTGTGTCGTTGCTGAGGTGCACAGTGCGGTCACGGATCCAGCGCCACAGCCAACGCAAGCTGCAGTCGCACAGCAGCGAGTCCGAGTTGAGCTCCCTGGGGGCGTGGGCGGGAGGGCGGCGACAGGGGACGTCAACCACCTCGCCGGGGTCGCGGGGGAGCTCGCCGACCTGACACTGGGCGACGGTGAGAGAGAGAGGGGCGGCGGTGACGGCGCTAACCGCAGCGCCACCGCTCGCCCGCACAGAACGCACAACACACACTCACACTACACACAACACACACTACACTCACACACAACACACTACACTCACACTACACACACACCACACACACTACACACAACACACTCACAACACACTCACACTACACACAACACACTACACACAACACACTCACACTACACACAACACACACTCACACTACACACAACACACTCACACTCACACTACACTCACACACAACACACTCACACTACACTCACACTACACTCACACTACACACACACCACACACACTACACACAACACACTCACAACACACTCACACTACACACAACACACTCACACTACACACAACACACACTCACACTACACACAACACACTCACACTACACACAACACACTCACACTACACACAACACACTCACACACAACACACTACACTCACACACAACACACTCACAACACACACTCACACCACACACAACACACTCACACTACACTCACACACACTCACACCACACACAACACACTCACACTACACTCACACACACTCACACTACACACAACACACTCACACTACACACAACACACACTCACACTACACACAACACACTCACACTACACACAACACACTCACACTACACACAACACACTCACACACAACACACTACACTCACACACAACACACTCACAACACACACTCACACCACACACAACACACTCACACTACACTCACACACACTCACACCACACACAACACACTCACACTACACTCACACACACTCACACTACACACAACACACTCACACTACACACAACACACACTCACACTACACACACCACACTCACACTACACTCACACACAACACACTCACAACACACTCACACTACACACAACACACTCACACTACACTCACACCACACTACACTCACACTACACACTCACACTACACTCACACCGTACACACAACACACTCACACTACACACAACACACTCACACTACACACACACACAACACACTCACAACACACTCACACTACACACAACACACTCACACTACACTCACACCACACTACACTCACACTACACACTCACACTACACTCACACCGTACACACAACACACTCACACTACACACAACACACTCACACTACACACAACACACTCACACTACACACAACACACTCACACTACACACAACACACTCACACTACACACAACACACTCACACTACACACAACACACTCACACTACACTCACACTACACACTCACACTACACACACACTCACACTACACACTCACACCACACTCACACCACACTACACACTCACACTACACTCACACACAACACACTCACACACTACACACAACACACAACACACACTACACACTCACACTACACACAACACACTCACACTACACACAACACACTACACACAACACACTCACACTACACACAACACACTACACACAACACACTCACAACACACTCACACTACACACAACACACTCACACTACACACAACACACTACACACTCACACAACACACAACACACTCACACTACACACAACACACTCACACTACACACAACACACTCACACTACACACAACACACTCACACTACACACAACACACTCACACTACACACAACACACTCACACTACACACAACACACTCACACTACACACACACTCACACTACACACTCACACTACACACAACACACTCACACTACACACAACACACTACACACAACACACTCACACCACACACAACACACTCACACCACACTCACACTACACACAACACACTCACACCACACACAACACACTCACACCACACTCACACTACACACAACACACTCACACTACACACAACACACTCACAACACACTCACACTACACTACACACAACACACTCACACTACACACAACACACTCACAACACACTCACACTACACACAACACACTCACACTACACACAACACACTCACACTACACACAACACACTCACACTACACACAACACACACTCACACTACACACAACACACTCACACTACACACAACACACTACACACAACACACTCACACTACACACAACACACTCACACTACACACAACACACTCACACTACACACAACACACTCACACTACACACACACACAACACACTACACACAACACACTCACACTACACACAACACACACTCACACTACACACAACACACTCACACTACACACAACACACACTCACACTACACACAACACACTCACACTACACACAACACACTCACACTACACACACACACAACACACTCACACAACACACACACACTACACCTCACACTACACACAACACACTCACACCACACTGCACACACTCACACTACACACAACACACTCACACTACACACAACACACTCACACTACACCACAACCACTCACACTACACACAACACACTCACACTACACACAACACACACTACACACAAACACACTCACACTACACACAACACACTACACACAACACACTCACAAACACACTCACACTACACACAACACACTCACACTACACTCACACCACACTACACACAACACACTACACACAAACACACTACACACAACACACTACACACAACACACTCACACCGTACACCACAACACACTCACACTACACACAACACACGCACACTACCACACAACACACTACACACAACACACTCACACTACACGCACACACAACACATCTCACACTACACTCACACTACACACAACACACTCACACTACACTCACACACAACACACTCACACTACACTCACACTACACTCCACACCACACACACCACACTCACACACACATCACACACACACACACACTCACACACACACACTCACACACACACCACACACACCACACACACTCACACACACACTCACACACTCACACACACACTCACACACACACTCACACACACACACACACTCACACACACACTCACACACACACACACACACACACTCACACACACACACTCACACACACACACTCACACACACTCACACACACTCACACTCACTCACACACTCACACACACACTCACACACACACTCACACACACACTCACACCACACACTCACACACACTCACACACACTCACACACACACTCACACACACTCACACACACCTCACACACACTCACAACACACACTCACACACACACACACTCACACACACACTCACACACACTCACACACACTCACACACACACTCACACACACACTCACACACACACACCACACACACTCACACACACACACACACACTCACACTACACACAACACTCACACCGCACACACCACACACACCACACTCACACCACACACAACACACTCACACCACACACACCACACTCACACTACACACAACACACTCACACTACACACAACACACTCACACTAAACACAACACACTCACACTACACACAACACACTCACACTACACACAACACACTCACACTACACACAACACACTCACACCACACTCACACTACACACAACACACTCACACTACACACAACACACTCACACCACACTCACACTACACACAACACACTCACACTACACACAACACACAACACACACTACACACAACACACTCACACTACACACAACACACTCACACTACACACAACACACTCACACTACACACAACACACTCACACCACACTCACACTACACACACCACACTCACACTACACACAACACACTCACACTACACACAACACACTCACACTACACTCACACACAACACACTACACACTCACACTACACACAACATACTCACAACACACTCACACTACACACAACACACTCACACAACACACTCACACTACACACACACACTCACACTACACACTCACACTACACACAACACACTCACACTACACACAACACACTCACACTACACACAACACACTCACACTACACACAACACACTCACACTACACACAACACACTCACACTAAACACAACACACTCACACCACACTCACACTACACACAACACACTCACACTACACTCACACACACTCACACCGCACTCAACACACTCACACTACACACAACACACTCACACTACACACAACACACTCACACCACACTCACACACTCACACTACACACAACACACTCACACTACACACAACACACTCACACCACACTCACACTACACACAACACACTCACACTACACACAACACACTCACACCACACTAACACTACACACAACACACTCACACTACACACAACACACTCACACCACACTCACACTACACACAACACACTCACACTACACACAACACACTCACACCACACTCACACTACACACAACACACTCACACCACACACAACACACTCACACCACACTCACACTACACACAACACACTCACACCACACACAACACACTCACACCACACTCACACACTCACACTACACACAACACACTCACACTACACACAACACACTCACACTACACACTCACACTACACTCACACTAAACACAACACACTCACACCGCACTCACACCGCACACACCACACACACCACACTCACACTACACACAACACACTCACACCACACACACCACACTCACACCACACACAACACACTCACACTACACACAACACACTCACACTACACACAACACACTCACACTACACACAACACACTCACACTACACACAACACACTCACACTACACACAACACACTCACACTACACACAACACACTCACACTACACACAACACACTCACACTACACACAACACACTACTACACACCACACACTCACACTACACACTCAACTACACTCACAC